ATATTACCATTAGGCAGTGTAATTTCAACAGGGGAAATGGTGTGTAGTGTGGAAAAATATTTTGCATTGCAACATGTATGATGAGTGGCACTAGTGTCGATTATCCATGAATCTCGGTTAAGATATTTATTGTTAAATGAAAGCAGTAAATGTGAAAGGTGTATTATACCAATATTGGGATGAGGCTGGCCGAGATTGGCTGTGGTGTTGCTGCCCGCGTGAGAAGCCGCGGATTGAATAGCAGCAATGTGGGGAATATAGGTCAACTGCGGCGGTGTAGATTTCAAGGCGTCTGACGAACGGAGTTGAGTGCTTAGATGAGCGATCATTTCCTGGATTTGAGAGGTGGTGTAAGTGGCAGCGGCGGCGGCTGGCAGAGAATACCCAGAATCAAAACTGGGTTGAGCAATCGGAGAAGACGATGAACTTTGGGCCACATGCCCTACCCCTCTCGCCTGGGCCGTATTATTTTGGGATGAACTTTTATTCTTGATTGGGAGCTGGGCGGGTACCCGTGGAGTTTATAACACCGATCCACGGTGTGACCCGTCAACCCGCAATGGCTGCAAATAGGTCGGTTCCTAGGCCGTCCCTGACCTCTAGAACCTCCCCCAAACTTAGCTCCAACGCCGCCAGCGAAAACCATCGCCTCGCGGCGATTTGTACTGCCATTGATTCCGATGCCTCGCTGTCGCTCTTCCTGAGTGACCAAATTAAATACCTTTAAGACTGGAGGAAAAGGATCCATCATCAGGATCTGTGCGCGCAAGCTAGAATAGCTGTCATTCAACCCATAAGGAACTGCATTCCTTGTTCTTTCTGTTGGCATTCCGTCCACACGCGCATTCCACCACATGAACAAGCCGGGACAGGTAAGTAATTGGTCAATTCGTCCCACAATGCTTTAAGCTTTGTGTAGTAAGTGTTAACATCGAGACTGCCTTGTGAGAAATTCTGGAGAAGATGTTTAATCTGATAGATGCGTGGTTCATTGCTTTGTCTGAAGTGGTCTCGAAGATAATTCCAGATAGCTCTTGCATTATCGTGAAACAAGAGGCTGTCGGCGATATCTTTTGATACAACATTTAGAATCCATGAAGCGACCATACTATTGCAGCGCTTCCAAATTCCAGCCAATGGATCTGTTGCATCCGGTTGAGGAATTGACCCATCAATAAATCTAAGCTTATGTTTTGCCGTGAAAGCCATAACCATGGCTCGGCTCCAAGTTGTATAATTTGGACCCGTTAGCATATGAGAGACAAGTGTAGCACCTGGATGATCGCTGCTGTGAAGAAAATAGGGACTATGAGGATTAGTATCACTCATAACTGATGTCGCAGCAGCAACTCGCTCAACAACAGGTGATATAAGCGGTGGAAATTGTTATGAGGATGGTGGCAGACACTGCTGTGGAGAGGATTGTCCTCCACGAGCCATGCTTGAACTGGTGTGTAATCGGTAGAAAAATAAAGATGAACAGAGTGTCGAGATG